AGAGACAACACCCAGAACTTCTGCCTCCCACTCCTCTATTCCAGCTGCCTGCTTTTTGTTTTTTTTTTTGAAGTTACAAGTATGGAGATGAAACTCATCAATGTCTTCAGTGGGAATTGCACCACTGTACTCAGCGGAGTATTACAGAGAAACAAAAAAGGCAGAAGTCTCATTTCTCACCTTAGGGCTGACTTCCTTGCTGTGGGTTGGCATTAGACACAGAGGAACTCGTTTCTATTGTTCTTCATGATAACCCAGGAAATACTAATTCAAATTATGCTGTTTGGGAAAAAAGCCCTTAGTTATTTGCTAAAATGCTTTGGAGATTTTTCTGTTTCCTTTCTAGCGTGCACCCTCCGCTACAGTGATCAGCAGCATTATTAACACAGAGGCCTTCGCTCAAGCAGTTCTAAACCAGAATTTTAAATTTGCACGTCAGGTCAGGAGTACCTGTCAGCTGCCAGGAGCAGCACCATGGGGCCCTCTACCCAAACTAACTGCGAAAAGCCAAGCTCAGACAGAAATCCTGACACAGGGCTCAACACCTTCATGCTGAATAAAATTCAGGAACTCCTAGGAAAAGAAGAGGATTCATCCAGGTAAATTATTAATTGAACTATTCACTTACATCTACAATTCATTTGCTGTGAGACAAGGGGGCAGTCACCCCTCTACAAAAGGCTGGCAAAGGTTCAAGCATCAGTTTGTTCCTACTTGAAACTCTTTGAGATTGCACCAAAGATTTGTGGACAAACCACTTTTGTTCTGGCTCTCTGCAGGAGAAGTTGTCACATGCAGTGATATAAAAATATGGAAAGGAAATGTCAAACAGGTGGAAACCTTTTTCTCTCTCTAAAGAGAAAAAAAAATATTTATTTGCTGACAAGGCGAATGTACTTATTACTGCTGCTGACTCCATAGCATTGAAATACCTAAGTAACAGCATTCAATAGTGTTAGAAATTTTTTTCTTCGATGCTACCTTCCATAGTAGGACAAGTGGAGATTAGTAGAAAAGAAATGAGTTGTTTGTAGGACAGGATTTTTCTTCTGCTTTCACTGAAAAGCAGAAAAGCGCTATGGAAACAGTGGTCTTTTCTGACTAGTCTTCATCAGCTGGCCACATTTTTACTGACTACAACAAAACCCCCAAACAAATACTTGTGTTTATGTGCATTGTTTGTTTGGGGGGGTTTGTTGGTTTGTTTGGTTTTGGTTTAAAAAAAAAAAAAATCCAGTGCAATAATGCCTACAATCAGTGCTTTCAGATTGCCTGTTCTGGAAGTCTGTCCCATGAGTGACTTTAAAGAAACTAGCCAGAAATACAGTTTGTTTCCTTAAAAGTTTTTTGGGAAATCACTACTGCTCCTGATGAAGAATCCCAAATATTGCAATTCTAAGGCACAAGAGGAAATCCTCAGTTATGGTTATTTTTACTTCAATACCTCTTTAATGTCACTGTGGCCATTCTGAAAGCAGGAATTACCAAATCACTCTATTTCCAACACATAGGCATCAAACTCCCGTAAAGCAGAAAACAAAGGTAACACAAAACATTGCTGGTGAGCTTACTTCACATCAGTTGACTCTGTACCATTAGTAGTGTTACTAAAAATCAAGGCCTGTGCAGTGCTGGAGCACCTTCTCTCCAGAGATTTTAAACCATTCTCAAGGTAGTGATGGTCTTAGCTTCAGCCCACCACTGCCTGGCAGAGCCACGGAGAGGCAAGAGCTGGTGTTGAGGGTTGTGGATCCCAAAGACTCGCTCTGCCCACTCAGTGATACTGCCTCCCCAAACCAGAAGACACATCTCCCGTAGGAAGCATGGGGTTATAGGAGGAGGAGGAAGCAGCCCTGACTCTGTGCTGACTGCAGATTCATCTCTGTGATTTCAGAGATCAGGATAAAGTAGTCAAGAAGTTGTTCCCTAGAAAGCAAATCTCCAGTTTCACAAGTGCAGCTCTTGATGTTGCAAAAAAGGCTCACTGAAGCCACAGAAACGGAGCCAGGAGTGGTTCCCTTTTATGAGGGCTTCCAAAATCAGGCAGGTAAACATGGAATAAAATCCTTCAAAAGACTAGTGGAGTGCTGCAGGTAAGGGGAATGCATCCTTTGTAAAAGAAAGAAGTGCTCTGAATGTACTTTACCCATAGATGAGAAAATTTCTGGGCCAGGACCTTGGCTGGTGATGGCACTGGCATTACTTTACAGCATCTCCAACTCTAGTTCCTGTTCCAGGGCTCAAACTTTAAAAACTCTTTTTATCTGACAGATAAAATACCTTTAAAACACAATGCAGTAAACACATCAGTCCCTTAATTACATCTTAAGAAAATCCCCTGAACTTGCTGAATCACTTGTAATTAAGTAGCCTCCAGGGAACAGAAGCAAATCCTGTTTTTTTGAGACATCATCAAAGAATATGACACCACCATGTAACTGGAGGTAGTCAGCCTAGTGTAGCACATTAACAAATATCCATGGTTTGAGACACAAATCACTTAGAAACTGCTGATCCTCAGCCTCCAGCCTATGTCTCCTTTGTAATCTGTGGATATCTGAAAGAGAGGTGCTATCTTCAAACTGTATTCCCAAAATACTTTCCAGTTTGGTGTATGTGGGAGTGATCATCAAAGCCAAAAACACTCCAGCCTGGAAACTACCAGTTAACAATGGCTAGCTGCTGATAGAAAAACCATGAAGTGAGTAAAAGTAGGTATCTCAACACAGGCACAAGAGAAATGGATCCAATTTGTACATCTGGCCTGGGGCAGGCGATTGTCCACGTGCAATCTGGAGCCACACCTCTGAAAACGTGGGAGGGAATGAGAAGTGGGTAGGTGACAGAGTAGCACTTAACAGAGCCCCGAAGGGCTCATTTTTGATGCCTGAACCTATCTCAAGCACAAGATGGAATGTCTGTCTCCTCCATCCCCTATGGCTGACCCTCGATGCAGGTACATTATTCAGCGTGCTTGGGTACCCAGGTGAATCTCCATCCTCCATCATCATCCCTGCGTACGAAGGCTTGTCCTTGGTGGAAGGTGTGAGTTCTTACGTTGCGGTGAGGACTTAGAGATGTTGTGAAGGCCACTTCTGTTTTGTTGGGTGACAAATCACCAGTCAAATAAGGCAACCCATAGGCTGGGAGGGAGGAAACATTTGGCACCGGTGAGGAGATGCATGGTGCTGAAGAAAACTGAGGAAGGAAGGGAGAGTCCTCGGTGCATGGATGGGTACTGCTGTTAGCCGCAGGCAGGTGGCTGCAGCTATACGCTCCTCCTGCTCCTTCGCTGTGGTCATAGTCTATTGCTTCACCAGGGCTCAGGCAATACGTTTCTTTTCCAATGTCTGAGGTCAGGGCACTGTAGTTAGCTGAAGTTTCATCAATGGTGTTGACATCTTTTAATCCTAAAGTCTGTAAGACCCAGCTGTCCACAGCAGGGCTGGCTTGCTCTTCACAGGCAGTGAATTCATTAAAGAGGTTCCTTCTAGCTTTGGAAGCATGAGGGGTTTCTTGAGGAACAAAGCAATGATCCTCTTTTAATCTCCTCTTGGTGCTTTTGAGAAGATCACTGGTTTTTTGGCTATGGCAGGACAGTAGTTTCTTAAAAAAAAAAAAAAAGGTGGAAAGAGAAGATTAAAATCTGAATTTCTAGTTACCTGGAAGCAATATGTTTCTGATCTTAGATTTTAGAGGGGCAAGATGGTTAACACTGTACTTATAAAAGATACTTTTCCTTCCACCCTGTGCTTAAACATATGGATACAACTAGCTATTTTGTGTCTTTACAGTCCCTGCAACAACCCAGTCCCTGAAAGAGAAGAATTTGACAGTGTCAGTAAGGCCTGTACTGTGATCACATTCTCACTCCGTGCAGTGTGAAAGGAGAGCTCCTGCCTGGCTGTATGACACTCCTCTGTGCTGCTGCTGCCGGCAGCATTTGGCAGGTGAGTGGGGTATGGGGGGGAATGTGGCAGCCTGACAAAGAGGGAGGATGCAAAGGTAAGTCACACTGGGGCAGGCAGTGCTCAGAAGAGCAGCCTGAGTGGCTTTGAGGTCATTAATCCACCTCCATTGCCATTAAACTCAGGACAAGGGCCCTTCAGGCATCCAGGGATGGTCAAAGAAAGGCAGGAATAACAAGGAAAGCTCCCCACCGTGTCACGAATTCACTGCTCAGCCACCTCCCATGGCACTTTCGCACTAGATTCTCCTCCACGGGACACCTCCCTGCTGTGCCCAACGAAGGAGATCTTTTCTACTGCCAGGAACCAGGTCTTGGCATAGGAGGGGTGACATGCCACACCATCAACTCAGAACAAAAAATACTCAGACGTAAAAGGAAAGTCTGCATTTTTTATGGGCCTCTTTACCTCATGCCACTCCACAGAGCTGAACAAATAATTAATAATTTGGTTTCATGGGCAAGTCCACAAGAAACAATTATCTTTATTTAGGAGGACAGACAGGGAATAAAAATATTTAATTAAAAAAACCCCTACATATTTAACAGAATGTTTCATCCAACCTGAAGTGTTTATATTTTTTTAACCTTTAATTTCACCTTTAAAAGAAACCACACAACTTTTTAATTAATAAATTGGAAAAAAAATAGATCAGTATTCTAATGTAAATGAATAAAACATAAAATTGGAAGATGACAGAAGACAGAAAGCACCTAAAACATAAAAAAGGAAAAAATAATCCTTATCAAAAGGGGTAATTGACAAAACAGACACATTCAAGAAATAAATGCTCAGGTGTGAACTGTTCACTGAAAAAAAAAGCTTTAGATGGAATAATTTTACCTTATTTATAAACTTAACTTACTTATAGGTAACTTATACACTAAACTTTGTTAGGCCATGAGCTTTACAGTTAGGCCATGTCTTTACAGTTAGAACCTGATAAGATGTCATTCCTGGGGGAAACTGTCCCCTTAGATCCATGACCAGCAGTTTGTCACCTCTGTGAAGTTAAATAGATCTCACACTGCAGGTTGTCTGCACTCTCAGACTTTCCGCAAATTTTAATGGCATGTACCTATTCAACTCGTTTCTTCTGCATACGTCTATACAACAAGTTTGAACACAATACCTTGGCTTTTTCTTCTAAACACTTAATCAGGGCAGAATTCAGGTATTGACGGAGGTTATTATTTTCTTCATGTAACCTAGCAAGTTCCTCTTCCTTCTGAAGCAAAGTATCTTGAAGCTGTGGAACAGAAATATTGATGAATAGGTGTTGACTCTGTAACTTAATAGCAGTTGCCCTATGGTACAGGCTGCTTGGATTTGATGATCCGGGTGTTTGCTTTGTGAATTCAACCTACCCCCTCCAGCCTCTTGTCTCTGTTAATCTAAGTGGCATGACTGTTCAGTTTTCACTTTTGACTTCCTTTATTCTTTAGTGAGTGTTTGAGAAGATTACTCTAAAGAAACCTTTAACCATGGAATAATAACAGAAAAGAATTACAGATAGCCCTGTGAACAGCCAGAAACTGTCACGGGCATGACAGCAGCTGCCAAACCTCATCCTGAGCGGCAGTAAGCATCTCTTTGCACCCCTCTCGTTCCCATTAATAGTTGGCTGGTGGGAAAAAGGAGAAGGAGGAGCTGCAGCCTAACAATTTAAGGGAAAAGAATGCTGAAGGAAGATGCAACTGCCTTTCTTTACAATACAGTGGTTCTTGGGGATCCCTTCAATCCTGGATCCTAATGCTCAGTCCTGGTATGTATAGAGCTGAGACAATCCCTGGTCCCAAGAGCTGAACGGGTATGTTTTGATTTGTAGATGCCTAATGCTTTTTCATGGGAAGTCTAGGTATTTGCAGAGAGATTTTTGCCTCCTGATCATAGCTCTGGAGACTCTTTTAGGAGGACAAAGGATCTTCTGCCAAGAACTCCATGCATCTGTTCACCACAGGCTGAAAAGCACAGATTCACACGATTGAGCTAGAGCCAGAGAAATAAACTGATGTCTGGAACCAGGGTTTAATTCCAGTGACCCCAAAGTTAGTAAATTATTTTTTTATCGACTTCACTGTGTCAAAATACCATCCCAAGTATTTGATCGGAGTGATCTCTCTGGGGTTCCTTCATCTAGGATTGCTCAGAGCTTCTCCTGCCCCTTGATGGGATTTACGTAAAAGGAAAGAAGAGAGAAAATAAAGTAACAAGGAAATGCCTGTTGGTCAGAGTGGTTGATCTTCCATATAAGTAATTTTGTTGGGATAATTTGTCATGAAGTTAATCCTGGTGGGCTCAGGAGGACAAAAACACACTATGTATATGCACTGCATATTTTTAGGCAATAGGCTGAGGCTCTGCATCATCAGAGCCCGAAGGACTTCCTGGCCATGCCCCTGGTCTGCTCTCGCACCAAGGCAGCTGGTGCAATATTCTTTAAGAGCAGAGAGATGAATAGGAAAACTCAAAACTGTTGTTCCAGCTTCGCAGGACAACACGGGGGAGACAAATACTTCCAGCAAGGAACAAAACCCACTCAAATAAATCACTTTGCCACCGTCTCCCACAGCTGGGAGATGTGCCATAAACCAACCCAGAAGGTGTGACACACGATACAAAGTTCAGGAACCTCGAGAGGGGAGGGAAGAATCTGAGGTTGCGGGGGGGTGCGGAGCCTTTCCCTGCTTGTTTCTGTAGAGCTGGGAGGACAGCTGGTCTCCCTGCCACGCCGCGTCCTGGGCACCGAGCTGCGGGCAGCAGAACTGGCCTAGGAGGGGGGAAACAGACCCGAGGG